CATGCAATGCAGTAACTGAACGAGGCTTCACTCTAAAATACAGCTCTGACTTACTCTACATATCAGAGGGAGTGAGACAGGAAGACCTGCCTCTAATTAAAGTGTAGAATCTCAATCCACCATTTGCTTTCTGTTTCCGCTCTGATTTTATTCTGAAAGTCCTGACAGGAAGTAGTGATTCCTCTCTTTCTGCTGATCCAGCCACAGTCACATGTTAAACCTCTGACTGACTGATTCTTTTCTTCATGTCCCACATCGTGTGTCGCTCCGTCAGACGTTTGTCAAGCAACAGAACCTCTGAAACTTCCTTTCAGAATAAAAGTTCACAATAGCTTGAAATAAAGCAAAAAACTTCCTCATGCTTTTCTAGGCAAAATCGCTAAAGAGGAAGTGATTCTGTGGGTGACTGTTGCTGTTTTTTAATTTCAGAAATACATATCATTAAAATAATCTGGGGGGCCAGTATCTTTTAAAGTGTGTTTGGTTAGTTTAGCATCAGTGCTGTTTCTATGGTTACCTGCAGTTTAATGAAATCTGAGCCCCAGTTTAGATCAATTAAACCAGAGCTGTGTTTGATCAGTAATATTTGATCGCTAACATTTTGTCACCAGTGAACCTCCATAGCTTCAGACTTCAGGTTAACTCAGGTTCACTGTGATTCTGTGTGTGATTCTCTCTGACAGGATGTAGAGCTGTGTTGAAGGAAATATACAACACACACAGTGCTGCGAGCGCTGAAACAATCCACACACACACACACACACACACACACACACACACACATTCAGTGTGTACATTTCTGTTTAGTTCATTAAAATGCATGTGCCTCTTCAAAGAGCTGACGACAATGATGCCATCTGCTGTTGTGTGGCGAGGGTATGTGCAGACACACACACACACACACACACACATTCAGAGACATGTGTAAAAATACCCATACATGCACGCACACACTGTTGCACCTTCACAAGTACCCAAACATTTACTTTCATTCACACGTTACCACAAACTGAACGACAGTCTTGCTCTGCACACAGGTAAATATCCTGCCTGTAGTTCTCACACACACACACACACACACACACACACACACACACACACACACACACACACACAGAAACACACTAGCAGAAATTTCAAGCAATTTACTTTCATCTTTGGGTCATTCCTACAAGCCCAAACGTCCCTTTTAAAAGCGAGCGCTCCTCTTCTCCTCTAAGTGCGTCGCACAAAGGGCCCATTTCAAAGGCAAATTCCACTTAGATTCACAAGTGCCGTGTATACTCTGGTACTCCAGGCAGAAATTCATCAAAGCTTAATGTTCCCTTCACAGAAAATCACTTAGCGCAGAAGCTAGCTGCCTGTACATGTGTGTGTGTGTGTGTGTGTGTGTTGTTTGATAGCAGTTTAAAGGGCCAGGCAGTCACTGCAGAGCCGCCTGTGTTTGTATGTTCACATTCATTAGAATGAAACTCTCTGTGTGAACATACAGGATCAATCCATGAGGAAGATGAACAGTGGATTACTTCACAGAGAGTCAGCGCGGGACTGAAAATAAAATAAATCTGAATGAAGAGATCCGTCATCTCCAATAATCATGTGTTCTCAGAGTCGTTGTGTCCCCACTAGATTTACTCTGCAACTTTTAGAAATCATTCTTTAAAGTTTGAGTTATTATACGGAGCCGTCTCTATTCTGAAGACAGGATGACAAAGACACTTTGTAATGTGCATGTCAGTGTTTCTGTACACAACTGTGAAAATGAATTAACTAACTAACTAACCAATATAATTGATTTATAGATAATGGCAGAATAAACTGAGTGATGTGTCACAATAGAAAATTAAATACTGAAGATTTTAATTTGCAATTTTTTTGATGCAGAAATGAAATTACAATTTCATTTACTATTAAATTCTGATAAAAATTGACAATTAAATTTCAAATGCAAAAATCAACTTAATATCATTAGCTAAAAAAGTGTCAGTAAACTGAAGCAACAATTCGTCCACATGTGTTTAAATTATTCCACTGTAAATCTCCATGAGACCAGAGGAAGATGGAAACACACACCTGGACTTCATGGTGAGAAGGAACAGCTACACCTCAGCAGTGACACTGAATTTACCTGAGATTCAAGTGAATCTAGGTCACGCTACGACAGTCTTTGCTGCAACATTCAGGGAAAGCGTGCGCAGTAAACGAAGGGTTCACCTGTCCGGTGCAAAGAAAAGGTTCCTGAATGTGACGTCATCACTTTAAATAAAGGAAGATGGAAGGAACAGAGTTGTAGTTTTTACCCAGTGTAAAGGGAGAGAAAGAAAAAGGAGGTTTCCTGTTGGACTTTACTTGTTTCGCTCTGAAGGAAAACTTCAGATTTGAACCTTTCCTGTTCAGAAGTAGAAACATTTGTCTTAAAGAGTTCTGGGACGACACACAACCACAAACAGGTGCTGTAACATCCCATCCCGTCTTTTAGCCCCGCCTGCGTCCATCCTACCTTTGACGGAGGTGTTGGGCGGCGGTCCCTCGATGCGCAGGTTCCACGGCGGGTCTCCCTGGTTGGCGAAGTCCCTCATCTTCAGGTAGCTGATGGTGAGCCGGATGATGGAGGCCTTGTCCAGCTGGCTGGTGATGGCGCCCGGCAGCGGCAGCATCTTGGCCAGTTCGTAAAACTCAAAGTTCTCTTTTCCCCGCCGCGATCGCGCCGCGTCACGTGACTTCTCCTTCCTCAGAGCCTGCAGCCTGGGTGAGAGCAGAGGACGACAGGAAGGTCAGAAATCTGATTATGGAAGACGTGAGGTGCAGAATGTGAGTGACAGAAGTCAAGACTAAACGTCATGCGTCAGAGGAGCGGAGGACAAACCAAAGAAAAACAATCATCAGCAGCTCCAGTCACTAAATATCTACAGCTGAAAACTGAACGACGACTTTTGTCAAGATGTTGAAGTAAGTCCAAGAGAAAACAAGATGTAAAACACATATATAAATAAAAAATATATCTATATGAATAATCTTTAACAGTAATAATTAAACACATGCTGCATTATAAAGTAACGTTTAGGAATCACGGCAGACGATCCTCACAAACAACGGCCACAGAAACCTCCTCCACTGACACCCATGACTGCTTCCCTAGCGTTTGTTAGCATGATAGCTAAATTAGCTGTTCAATGCAATCTGATAAGAAAATGGATCAATTACCCAGAACAAGCTTCTGCTAAACTGGATTACTGCGTCACAGGAAGTCGCTCCATTACGAATACACCTGCGCTGGTGAAGTGAAGCTTACAGTTCATTCAGTTGAAGGTTTTTACGAATGAATCCAAACTCTCAGTTTTATTTGAGTTTATTTTAATTAAGGATGAAGTTTCAAACGGGGACAAACAGACCGTCAACAGCTGAACATCTACTGCTCCATCTGCTGAAGACCAAGACCCCACTGAAAGCTCCTGAACAGCTGATGAATGGACCCTGTCATTTAATGATTACTCATATTATCTGTTCCTATTGGAGGGAGGGATCCCTGCTCTGTCGCTCTGTCGCTCTGTCGCTCGTCCTGAGGTTTCTTCTATTTCATCCTTGGAATCAGGAGTCGGAACTGACTTTGTTACTGTTCACATATGCATAATCTCAATCCACCATCTTGCTCATCATCTGCTTTCTGTTTCCGCTCTGATTTTATTCTGAAAGTCCTGACAGGAAGTAGTGATTCCTCTCTTTCTGCTCATCCAGCCACAGTCACATGTTAAACCTCTGACTGACTGATTATTTTCTTCATGTCCCACATCGTGTGTCACTCCGTCAGACGTTTGTCAAGCAACAGAACCTTTGGAACTTCCTTTCACAACTTTTCAGAATAAAAGCTCACAAAAAACTTGAAATAAAACATTGCTGCAGAAAAAACAAAATAAACAGAAGAAGGTGATTTGTAAATATGAACATTTGTACGTTTTGAGGAAGACGTCCAGTTACTGACCTTCCTCATCCTCTACATGACAGAACCCTTCACCTCCTCTCCTCATCCTCCTCCCTCACTCCTCCACTCTATTATCTCACATCAGTCTCTCCTTCCCTTCACTCCAAACCACTACACTTAGTCTTTCCTTCGTCCTCTCTATCACTCCCTACTCCATTACTTCATACCAAAGAGCTGCTGTTTATCCTCTCTCTCTCTCTCTCTCTCTCTCTCTCTCTCTCTCTCTCTCTCCCTTCAACAACAACAGTGACGACCATACTTTTCCGCAGCCTCTCATCATCATCGGACGCCGTTATGAATTAACTCAGCAATAAATCAGCTGCTAAAAACCTCTGTGGGCTTCCTGCCGGCCACACACACACACGTGCACACAAAAACACACACACACACACACACACACACACACACACACACACACACACACACACACACACACAGACAGGTGATTAATTTTGCCAGAGCACAAAAATGCGAGAGGAAAAAAGTGTTAGAGGGATAAAGAGGGGGAGGTAAAGGGAAGGAGAGCGATGAGATGGAGGGATAGCAGACCAACACTGTAGAGAAGGAGGGGGGGGTTGTTTAGGGCTAGGGATGAAAAATGGCTGTCATCTGGCGAAGAATATCATTTTCATACTGTTTGTCATTTATTTATCAGCAAGAACAAACAGTAAATGGAGAGGAGAGGATGAGAGGAGGAGAGGAGGAGAGGATGAGAGGAGAAGATGAGAGGAGAGGAGGAGAGGATGAGAGGAGAGGAGGAGAGGAGAGGATGAGAGGAGGTGAGGAGGAGAGGAGGAGAGGTGGAGAGGTGGAGAGGAGAGGAGGTGGAGAGGAGAGGAGAGGATGAGAGGATGAGAGGGGGAGAGGAGGAGAGGAGAGGAGGGGAGGTGGAGAGGAGAGGAGGTGATGTGAAGGAGAGTGAGAGAGGTGAGGAAGGAGAGGAGGAGAGGAGGTGGAGAGGTGAGAGGATAGAGGCAGTGGAGAGGAGAGGATGAGGAGAGGAGAGGGAAGGAAGGAGGGAGAGGAGAGGATTGGAGAGGAGGAGAGTTGAGAGTTGAGGAGAGTGATTGAGAGGATGAGAGGTGGAGAGGAGAGGAGAGGAGGGGAGGTGGAGAGGGAGGGAGAGGGAGGAGAGGAGTGGGAGAGGAGAGGAGGGGAGGTGCGAGGCGAGAGGAGAGATGAGGAGGAGAGGAGGAGAGGAGAGGAGGAGAGGAGTGAGGAGGGAGTAGAGGAGAGGAGAGGAGAGGAGAGAGAGGGAGGCAAGGAATGGAAATGAGAACTTTAAAGGTAGAGAACTGATTTTTTTTGATTGATTGTCTGACAGATGGTACTGACTGGCAGCAAAGAGACGTGATCACAGCTAGGGATGGTTTAATAGACGTTTAAGAAGTTACTTGAGTTTGTTTAATAAAGGTGGTTAACACAGAACAGAGAGGCCACTTCAGGTTCGTGTTTCATGTTGATCAATAAGTATGATCAGTGTTACACAACTTCTGTCTCTGTTGCTTCACTTGTGGTGTGTGTTCTGTGGTTGTGTGTATAGTAAGAGTGTGTGTAAGTGGATGGAGGAGGTGTGTTTGACCGGGTTGACTCAAAGTACAGACATATTTTATTCTATGTACTGTGCATAGAGTATGGTAAATCCAACACTTGTTGTGATCAGTGTGATTGTCGTGTGTTGTGTGTGTGTGTGGTGTGTGTGTGTGTGTGGGTCTTATAAACATGAAATTGAACCTTTGCGTAAAGTTTCAGACCGGGTGACTTGATGGTGTTTTAAATAGCTTTTCACAAATCTTCGTATAGTTATAGGCAAGGTGTGTGTGTGTGTGTGTGTGTGTTTGTGTGTGTGTGTGTGTGCTGTGTGTGTGTGTCCATGCGTAAAGTTCAGTTGAGGTGGGTGTTTAAAGAGCTTTCACTTGAAATGGAAGAAGATTGTGTTGTATTTCTGATGTGTGTGTTGTGTGCCTCTGTGTGTGCGTGCGTATGTTGCTGTTGTGTGCCGTGCGCTGCGTAACTGTGTGTCGTGTGTCCTGTGTTGCCGTGTCGTTATCTGTGTGTGTGCCTGCTGTGTTGTGTTGTGCTGTGCGTGTGGGTGGCCGTGTGTGTGTGTGTGCTC